TAGGGGGATTCGTGTGGGAGGAGACCTTGGGGAGACATTGAGAACTTCCATTTGGGTGGGTCTGTCAAGGATCTAGGAGGGTTGACGGTGGTGGTGGTGGGGGTGAGTTTGTAAGGGTGAGATCAGACAAACAATTACAGCATGTGAAAGAAATGGTTGAGATCAGCTTTTTGATTTGCGTTAACTTCGTATGGAATTTGAAGACTTATGGGTTTAGTTTCACCTTTTTTGGAGGTGAGCGCGGTGCCCTGGGAACAGGAGAGCTAGACATGACATAGATTAGTCCTCTGGAAGAAATCAGTGGGTGTTAGCTGAATGGATGATGCAGCTCTAGTTACCAAAGCATACGGCCAGCTCTGTCCGGTGAATTGTGTTCTTGGCTTGCATTCCTCAGTCATACTGTGTATTACCTCATCCCCCCCCCCCTTTTTTTTTTTCTTCTTCTAGCAAACCTTTTCTTTACTTGTTCTTTGTTTCGTGTCCACTGTACAGTATTTCCCCTGCCCCTCCCACTTTATCAGTCTCCTTCCACCTTTATTTTATATGCTCAGCCAGCCTGGAACTTTGTCCTATGTCAAAGAACATCTGTCTTCCCATCGGCTTGAAGCCTAATGTGATACCATCACCAGCAGCTTGAACCCTATTGAGATACCATCACCTTGTGCAACAATAGCTATTTTTAGAATGGATAACTGATTAATCATGGAACATGGTGAATTAAAACACTGGACCAGGAAGATTTTTACTTTTTGGAGTAATGTTTGTGACAGGTTCTTTTCTTTATTACTATATGGTGCCTATGTACTTTGTGTGTGTGTATATCCATAATTGTTCGTCTCAGCACTCCTCCACGTGCTGTTGCCTTTGTCTTGTGGTATCTGGAAATTACTTTCATCGTTTGTTTTGTCTTCGCTGTTACGTGGTTATCGTATGCTCTATCTATCTAGGTAATTATGGAAATGATTTTTGTAGCCTATAGTAACTAGTCTACTTACAAATGTCCCAACGCAGGTTTGGAGATAAATGGAACTGTCTTCATATCATGAGCAACAAGAATACTTCCGGAATTTAGCAGATGTGTAGGAAGGGTTGTTCCAGCTTTGTCCCAGTGTGATGTTCGCAATGTCCTTTTGTCACAGCGAACCAGTGCAGACACCTGAGACAGTGACATTTCAGCAATATACTGGTCTCTCTTTGACAGTGAAGCTGAGACCTTTGTACCAAGATGCTGTGATTGACAAAGGACATTGCGAACATCACACTGGGACAAAGCTGGAACAACCCTTCCTACACGTGCCTGCCATCTGCTAAATTCCGGAAGTATTCTTGTTGCTCATGATATGAAGACAGCAGTCCTTGTGTGGCTTAAAGTAGCAACATCAAGATGTAGATGGAAGAAACATTACCATCCCTATCATGAAATTTGTGTCTTGGGCATAACCCTCTGTTATGAAGATCTGGGTCATGGGGCTTGTGGCCTGTTATCAGTTATTGTAGTTTGCCACACCACCTACTTTTGGTTTATTATGGATCCCAACTCTCTGCCACACCCCATTTTCCTTCTTCTTTGCACTTCCCTTATCTTTGCACCTCTACAGAAGATATGTATGGAGAGATATATGTAGGGTCCTTGCCAAATTCTCCTCTTGTAGCTACTTGTCTTGCTTTGGTTATTATGAGGATCCACAGGCTTCAGTGGTTGAGTCACTGATTCAAGACAAGTATGTAGACCGTTGTTTTATTGTAAAAGTGTGTCCCCCCATTGAAGGATATCCCCTCACTTCCTGTTCCTATGACCGCTATGAAATGTTGGACTCCCCATCACTTTCTGTCCTGTAGACAATGGTCTCCATGACAAATGGAGAGAGTGAATATTCCTAGATACAGCTAACATTTGAAAAGAAAAATGCCCATAAGGCGCGTATAGGATGTGGCCAGTAAAGTGGGTGTGGTTTCATATCATATTGCATAGTGTCGCACTTTTAGTTTTCTGTAGACAAATTAAGTCTTACACCAATAAGATATTGGGAATAAAAAAGGTCCCATCATTGGTGTCACCAGAAGTAACATAAGCGCCATCCTTTGTGTCACCGGAAGTAACTAAGCTCCATCCTTTGTGTCACCGGAAGTAACGTAAGCTCCATCCTTTGTGTCACCGGAAGTAACATAAACTCCATCCTTTGTGTCAGTGGAAGTAACATAGGTTCCCATCCTTGGTGTCAGTGGAAGTAACATAAGCTCCATCTTTTGTGTCACCGGAAGTAACATAGGCTCCATCTCGCTGTCACCGAAAGTAAAATAAATCCTATGATTGTTGTTAGCGTGTTTAAAATAAGTCCCATCTTTGTTCTCCGTGTAAGTAGGGGGAAAAAGAACCAAATGGGTAACAACGTATAGCATGGTATACTTTATGAAACCTTTACAACGTCATGTGCAATAGAGAGTTCCAGTGCAGCATACAGTATAAAGCTGTGTGGAATAGGAAATGAATAGCACAGTGTACAGAATGAGGTGCTGTAGAGTACAGCAGGTACGGCGCAGTGTACAGAATGGGGTGAAATTAAGTTGAAAATATACATCACGATGTGGAATAGGAAATGAACAGCACAGTGTACAGAAAGAGGCAATGGGAATAGGGAACATATAGAATGAGGCAGTGTAGAATGGGGAATGTATAGCGCAGCTTCCAGAATGAGGCCGTGTAGAATGGGAAACGTACAATGTGAGACAGTGTAGAATGGGGAACATACAGCACAGTGTACAGAATGAAGCAGTGTAGAATGGGGATCGTACAGCGCAGCATACAAAGTGAGACAGTGGGGAATGTACAGCGCAGTGTACAGTATGGGGAATGTACAGCGCAGTGTACAGTATGAGTGGGTGTAGAATGGGGAATGTACAGCGCAGTGTACAGTATGAGGGGGTGTAGAATGGGGAATGTACAGCACGGTGTACAGAATGAACAGGTGTAGAATGGGGAACGTACAACACAATGTGCAAAATTAGACAGTGTAGAATGAGGAACATGCAACGTAGTGTACAGAATGGGACACGCACAGTGGAATGTATAGAGTGAGACAGTGTAGAATAGGGAATGTACAGCGCGATGTAGAATGGGAAATGTACAGAGCATTGTACACTATGAGCAGGTGTATCGTACAGTGCAGCGTAAATAAAGAGACAGTGTGGAATGGGGAATGTACAATGCAGTATGTAGAATGGGGAAACTTACAGCGCCATGTAGAATGGAGAAGGTACAGCACAGCATACACAATGAAGTGTGTAGAATAAAGAATGTACAGTGCAGTGTAGAATGAGAACTGTACAGCACGACATGCAGAATGAGGGGTGTAGAATAGGGAACATACAGCACAGCGTACAGCATATGAGGTGGTGTAAAATATGGAATGTACAGTGTACAGAATTGGAGGGGGTTAGAATAGGGAATGTACAGTGCAGTGTACAGAATGGAGTGGGGTTGAATAGGGAATGTACAGCACAGATTACAGAATAAGGTGTTGTAGCATGGGGAACATAAAATGCAGGGTACAGAATGAGTGTAGAATAGGGAATGCACATACTGTACATACATACTGTATATGTGCACTGCAGTTAAATTTTAATTGCACCCCAATTCCATAGTGCTGTGAATAAGCCCTTATGCTTAGCAGACATTTTTAGGAATAGAGTGCCATTCACATTTTCATTGCTGATGAAGAAAATGGCTTGCCAAGTTGCCAGTGCTGCCACTGAGTATTACTTCTTCATTCCCAG